CCCGAGCGGCATCGAGCTCCATCTCCCCCAACCTCCGCCTCGATCCACACTCCATCTCACTCGAGCTCGATCCCGACTCAGATCTAGGGTTAGGGTTAGGGTTAGGGTTTGATCCCCCAACCCCGCTTTCGTCCTCACTATTCTCCATCCAATTGAGGGGGGAAAAGAAAAAGGGATCTTTTTCTCGAGGGACAAGCGGAGGAGGCGGCTCAAATATCCTCCGGGCTCTGACAACGCATTGAATCTGGATTCACTGAATTGATCTTCAATCCAGATTCACTCCAACGAATTGAATCTGGATTCACTCCAATCGATTTGCTGCTCCACTGGATTTGTGAATCATTCTAACCTTCCAAGCAGAATAAGAAACTTATGGTAAAAAACAAGCTATAAAATTTTATAACATGAAAAATTTTCACCTTTTACAGCAAAAAGTTATGATTTTTATGGTAAAAAACAAACACCTCACATAATTGAATCTGGATTCACTGCAGTGAATCGAGATTCACTCATGCATTTATAGAACGTGTTTGATGATTTTAAGCAAAAAGTTACAATTTTTACATTAAAAACAAACTGGCGGTCAGCGGCGGAGAGGAGAGGGGAAGGGAGATGGCTGCTGGTCGCGACGGCGAAGGCTGGTCGTGGTGGTGGCGAATGGGGCTGACGGCGTTTCAGGAAGGAGGTCGGAGAGGAGGTGAGGCGGTGACTAGGGTCGGAGTTCGCCGGCGGGGGCTCGTCGGGGCTTGGGGTTGACGGTGAACTCAGGCGGCGCGGTCGTCGCTGCTGGTCGGAGCTCGAGCGGGGGTGGGGTTGACGACTCGAGTTGGCGGGTTCGCTGGGAATGGAGCGGAGGAGATGGAGATGGTCGGGTTGGAGGGACAGCGAGGGTGCAGGCGGAACTAGAGGTCGGGTTTGGGAGCTTGGCTTTGCCGGCGTGGAAGCTTGTGTTGATGGCGGACGAGAGAGAGAGAGAGAGAGAGAGAGAGAGAGAGAGAGAGAGAGAGAATTCTGTGGGCACTTGTCAGCTGTTTGTTTGCCGGGCTCTTTTTTTTCCGACTCACGCCCTGATCTCATTAAAAAATTTCCTGAAATGACCTAAAATATGAGATCAACAGCGGGACATGTGGGGGGACATGTGTGGTGTTTCCCTCCTATTGCATAATGAGATGATCATGTCATTATGCAATAGGAGGGGAACACTTCACATGTCCCCCTGTTAGTCTCATATTTTTGGTCTCTATAGCAAAGCCCTCTTTAAAGGGGTTACTCGCTAACAAACTCTCCTTAATGAGCCGAGCCCTTGCACGCTATTTTAAAAGCTAAAAACACCTGGCAGTTTAGTGCCCATCCTCACAAAGAGAACCACAAAGAGAACCATCTCAATCGCAGTGGATAATCATTGGGAAACATGCGAAATAATTTGTGACGGTGTATGTACGTACGTGCAGAAGAATTCATAATGGTGATTATATAATTATAGCATACGTTTAGAGAAAGAATATATTAAACGGACGCTAATCTCAATCCCGCAACCAGTGATAAATGTTTTAGTATACAACATTAGATAGATATAATGTTACATAGCTGGGCGTAGATTCACTGCAACCCAGCTTACAGATGAAACCTAGGTACGCTGGACAGAAGAACTGAGCAATTCATGATCCCCCGAAACTCCTCAAACAAAGGAAAGACGACAGATCAACGGGCAGATTCTCCCTCCACTTCAAATTTTTTGAACCGGAGAAAATTAAGGGCAATGATCACAAATTTATCATTCGCTCCCTGGGCTCAACGTCACCAGACATTTCATAGCCAAACATTATCATGACTTAATGCCACTGCAGTTCACCAGTAACCATCAAATAAACAATACTTAAAGCTGACTAAGGTCCAACACAGATTTGACAGTTAAAAAGTTTTAACATGCAACATTCGTACAAGTCTCAATTACAGCTCTTCAAACAACTCTAAAACAGGTAATCAATAGTCTCCATTAACTGTTGAAATAGTTCATCATACTGGTTAAGCTAATATCAGTAGGTTGATGGGCATTTATGTATGCAGAGAGTTTACACTCAAGCGCGGCACACCAAGCATTTCGTTATTCCCCTCTCATACAGCATCAGCATTATGCCAGCCTTTTGTGCACGGCGGTATGTCCATGAATTCATCAAATTCCTTCACATGGACATCACAGCACTTCCACTGCATAAAACCAACCATTTTGGAAATTATAAGCACTGCACATTTTAAGGAAACAAACTGACAAAAATCTTAGACAACCTCTATTGGTCTTACCCCTCTTATTCTGTCATGAAAAATTGCAGGACCCGGATGATATTCACACGCTGTCTCGTGGTTATCCTTCTCTTTGAAGGTCTTGCCACATCCTTTATTTCTGCAAATTTGGGGCTCATCCAAACCAACTATTTTCTTAACTGGTGGAGGTGTATTTTTAACCTGATCATTTTCCACAGAAGTTGGCAAAACAACCGGGTTCGAAGGCTTTGGTTGGGCATCTGAAAAAAATTTGTTCGTTTTTTTTTCAACTTAATTATGCAACAACGAAGTTTAAATTTTGAAATTTTGATGCCAGTGTCAAAAAAATAAAAAAATCATGTCAGAGAAGCGTACTGTGATCAGAGCAGAAAAAGCCTTGGCGACATCTTGAACAATTAACATCAGTTGGTTTATTCTGAACAGGAGATGGAGTAGGCTTTCGAGAGCTTGCTGATACTGCCTTTGTTACTGGCTTCTCAAGGGTATGTTTACCTGTCTTACATCTTCATTAATAGAATAGAGAGTTGAGAAACTGCTACTGAGGCAAAGTGCATATGAGGGTTTATATTTAATGCAATGAATAATGACAATAAAACTAATTGGATAATTGATTTACATATACCCCAAAAAAAACTGTTTCAATTGACCCATGGAGTTGTATGATAATCAAATATCTGTCTGATTCAAATACCTAAGCGAAGGGAAATGAGTTTCCACTAAGAATGTAATTATGGAACACATTGATGCTACTGATATATTAGAGTGCAAATAGAACAGCACAAGTTAATAGATAGTTGTAGCATTTTCACGTAAAACTACGAGAATCATTCGGTCAGGCTGCCGAGAAAACAATTGAGTCACATATAATGGAGGCTCACTCTGTGCTCAGATATTACTGATTTTGTTCGGTAAACAATAATTAGTGAAGAATGGACTCAACATCAACAGGCTAGCGTCCTTACATTCTACAGCACAAGGAAACTTCTTATATCTAAAGCAGATAGAAAGAAAAGCTCATAAACACTAAATACACCCATTTAGCCAATAATTAACTGTGTTAATTACATTGTAAGTCAACAAAACTTTCCTACCAAATCCTCAGAATCTGTGAACCGAGATTGAGAAATGTAGTAGCTTACCCTGGAATTGCCAAGAACAAGCTGAAATCATGGCTTTTTTGCTTGCAACAGCTCCATTCTTTCATACCATCATGAAATATAGGCTGGAAAGTTTGTCATAGTTACATAAGGAATATGCAAAACTTCCAAAAGTAAGACACCAAAAAGAAATGTAAGTTTGACTTACTCCCTGAAAAAGAAAAGGAAAGGAAATCATTAGAATGTATGGAAAATGTATATAACTAGATCATACTAGCCATCAACACAAAAAGGCTTTTGATAAATAAAAAGGGACAGCAACTGACTCTTGAGGTAAATACCAATATCAAACATTTAATTCTTATTATAAAGCATTAATTCTTTATGTGCTTTGATTATACTAGTAAGATTAGCTTACGCTCAGAACACCTAGGGGGAAAGCAGTCTACATGATTTCAACTGGAACATTGGGTTTTAAGGTTTTAAAAAAAGAGTTCCAGAAACATGCTCTGAGTGTACAAGTGTGTTTTTGGGAGAAACATGGCCTACAGTGGAGCTCAGAATCACTTTGATCCAAAAAATTTAAACTAGTAAGTCTTGATCTCAACTCCATATTCAAATCCATCACTTTCTCATACAATTTCTCAAAGCAGGGTCCTACTCATACATGAAAACCTCAACAATCTCCTGCTTCCTGCAAGCACATAATGGACTAACCAATTCTATGAGAACCATGAATACCACATCATACCCCCAATGCTTTCACGGCTACATGATACTCACCCAGACACGTGTTTTAAAATTCTTCCCCAATCATTCATGATCACATCGAAGATGGGGCCACCTTGGCACCAATCATAAGTGAGTTGAAACTAACAATAATTTTGCTAACCACTAACTCACCCATAAGACTGATTATCTTCGAGATATTAGTAATCAAAAAACAAGCTTGCAGTGGATCATGGCTGCAACCTCTGCTCAAAACTAATTCTGAGGAGGTTCAGAGCATGTGTGTGTGTAGGAAAAGTGTTTATAAGTGGCACCTTAGATTCAATCTAAGGTAGCGTCTCTTGATTCATGAGTTAATATTCCAATTGATGATCCGCTCCATTCATCGTGATCTAAATGTCTTAAAACATCTATAAAACAATAATCATGTGATAAATACTTCTAACACATCTTTCATCGTCTCTTTAGTTATATTATTGGAAAATCGTTAATTTTATAATCACTTGATGCATGGATAACTACAACCCAATATAGGTAAATTTTTGTTTGTATATAAGCAAAAATATATAAATCAAAATGAACAGAGTAGATCGAGCAATTTGATAGCACATAATGTAGTTTTGAAGGCGCTACCTTAGAGTGAATCTAAGGTGTCACCTTATGAACACTTTATATAATATATATATATATATATATATATATATATATTTATATATATATATATTATATATTATATAGCGTTTTACTGGGAATGATCGAACCATGGGAACGAATTCACAGGCTATCACCTTCAAGGCCAGATCTTCCAACCTTTCAGAAAACCAGTTCACTACGCGCCACCCCGTAAGTACTGCGTTGCCTACGTTTGCGCCCCAAAACGTTTGCTGACTTTGTACAAGTCATCCGGGGGCGCTACGACAACACAGCCTACGCTTGCTGCTTGCTGGTTTTTCCATCATCCAATCCATAATATATATATATATATTATATATATATATATATATATATATATATATATATATATATATATATATATATATATAAAGAGAGAGAATATAGATATGCTTGGTACCAAGCACAAATTTTATGTTTTGATAGTGAGGCGGCATAAATCCCCTCCACTTATTCAAATGGAGGACCACATTCATATGAGTTGAGGAGTACATGAGGATATGCAACCGTTTGAAGGAGTGGGGGAGATTATACCACCTCACTACCAAGCATACTCATTTTTATCATATATATATATATATATATATATATATATATATATATATATATATAAGAGAGAGAGAGAGAGAGAGGGGGGGTATGCTTTAGTACCAAGCACAAAAATTATGTTTGGTAATGAGGTGGCATATTATCCTCCACTCATTTAAATGGGGGGACCACATTCACATGGTTGAATGTGGTCCCCTATTTGAATGAGTGGATGAGAATGAGACATCTCACTACCAAACATACACATTCTCTCTCTCTCTCTCTCTCTCTCTCTCTCTCTCTCTATCTATATATATATATATATATATATATATATATATATATATATATATATATATATATAGAATGCCTTTAAGAGATAATAAGTTCCTTCCCCCTATAAACATTCGAATCCTATGTAATTTCACAATTGAGGCAAATCCGACCTGAACTAGGTAAAATTTGATACTTGAAATACATGGAGAAGCAATAAATAATCTCATACATTCTGCACAATAGCACGAATAATGGAGAAGCAATTCTATATTTTTATTTATTCCAAGGAGTATTCACTTCAACTACCAAGTCTTTCGAATTCCTATTTCATCAGCAATTCTGATTTCTCTACCGGGGCATCCTTCTTCTCTTGGAAAGAATCGTCATTAATTCCTCTTTTTCTCATCTTTTCATGGTTTCTTTCAATCATTGATTCCAAATCAAACCACCTTTTTCTTATTCCTTCCAATTCCAACTGAAACAATCCTTTCATATTGCTTTCAAGTATTCTTATTTCTACTTTCTCTGTTCTAAATAGAACTTATCTCTTCAGTGAAGCGTATTTGTTTCTCTCCATGAGGCACCACAGATTGCATTCAAAGCTCCAAAGGTTGAATCGGAATAGTAGTTGAGGTTTTTCCATTGCTATTTATTTTTACTCATGTTCTCTTTTTAACATTTTCATTGTTCCTTTCATAAACGTAGTCAATGTTTCTGTTTAATTATACGAAAATCTAAAGTCAACTTGCAGATGTAAACAAATGGGTTAAATTATTGATTTTTTTTTCTATTTGTGTTAGGAGCAACTGGGATTATCTTTTTATTTTTATTTTTTTGGGTTTGTTTTTATAATACTGGGAGAGTAATCATAGGTATAATAAAGGATAATTCAAAATTGACCTCGAATTTAAGTAGGTATGTTAGAGAAGCAGGTCTACAAATTTTAATTAAAGTTTATTTTTAAATTTATTGTTTGTTTTTATTGTTGATATGGCCATTAACCATATTCTTTGTTCAAATTGATGAAAAACAATTTCCTTAATTCCTTATTCATGCTAACAAAAGATTGCCCCTTATCCTTCACAAACAGTTTATAAAATTGTCTCTTATCGATAATTATCTATATATGCCTCTAATTAACCAAAACAGTTATCCTTAATTATCTATACATAAGCCTCTAAATTTGTATATCGTTCCATTTGATGGCAACTTAATGAACTAAGATAGTCCTCTGATGACAATTGGAGACCATCAATCACTACTCAAATGCAGCCAAGTCTACTACCTGCAGAGGATCCAATCACTACTCTTCGGTATTGTTCTTGATATCTATTCTGTTTGTATGCATCCAAAGTTTGAGAATATCTTTTACGAGTTGATTAAAGTACCCAAAGATCCATCTAAGCTCAATTTCATCCATCAAAGAGGACCTTTTTCCATAAACTGAACTAATATGCCAAAATTTTGAAAGCCTAAAGCCAAGAACACATATCAAAGCCTTTAAAAATTCCTTTTTCTATCACAATTAGCTTCAAATTTCAAGTAACTAAATTGTACAATATGACTCATAAACCTCCAAAAGGCCCAAACTTGTTAACTAAGAACAGGTATTTTGGAGAAATTAACGTGATGAAGATCAGTAAACCCAAATCCACTGCAAAATTTACATGAATGCAAACCTCTAGGAACAAATCGCCGAATATTGGGGGCATACAAGATCAAAAAGTGAGATTTTTGAAAGGTTTTAGGTTTCTTACAGAATCGTGGTATCTGCAGGATCCATCGAGGTTGTCGGCGTCAGTGAACATCGCGTCGCATCCAATCCTTTGGCATCGAACTGCCGCCCCTTTCTCCATCTCTCTCTCTCTCTCGATCTCTCTCGATCGACTCTTTTGAAAAAAAATTCGGCGACAGCTGCGATTCTATCGGCGAAGGCTCCAGAGACAAATATAGAAGGGGTAAACTTTTACAAAGGCCCCTTGATTTTGGGATCGTTTGCAGGAAACTCTCCTTGAGAAATAAAAGGCTAATTAGCATTTAAATACCTGTTGTTTCTGCCTTGCACTTGCATATGCAGCATATCTTTACTTGTTTTGGCACTTGTATACCCTCAAGTTTCTAAAAGTTTCAGTTTAATACCTTATATTACGTGAACGTGTGAATTTTGCTCCGAATTATCCTATTAATACTCATAAGCATTGATGTTTCTTAAACTTACAGCAGAATATATTATAATTATATTTTAAACATAGTTTAATTGTATTTAAAAAATAATTGCTCTGAAAAGACAATTGAGGATATATAAGTGCAAAGTAGGAAAACAAAAAAATATATTTAAGTGCTATTTACAAAATTAGAGCGCGTAAAAATTGAGGTGCTTCACAAAATTCTCATAAACTATGAGATTTTGTGCATACTTGATTTAATTATTCCAAACGAGTTGTCAAATTTCCTCCAATTTAAAATTGTTGTTTTTATCTTGATTTTGATATTTGAATTTGGGTCTCTAATTGAGTCTACTTTAATTTTGACAACCATGACAATTTTTTTTAAGAATATCGCTGTAGGTTTTATAGTAAAACATAAACGGATATTATCGTGTTTTGGCAACTGAAAAATAAATGAAAAATTAAATCAAAAGTTCAAAAATAGCTCTACTATCTTTTTTCCCCTTTTCGTTTGACGCTTAAAAGATAAATGCAAAATGATTGGTAACTGAAAAGTATCATATTGTGTTTTAAGCCCCTTTTATTTTTTTTCAAATTTGAGACAGTGGATGGAGAGGTGAGAGAGTTAGGTCTTTGAATTTTTTTAGTATCTTTTTTTTTTAGTTTGGACTGTTCACTTTCTATGATAACCTAACATAAAAGAAGGAAATAAATGCCACATTATTTGTCATCTTAAATTTATTCTTATTTTATTTTCTTTCTTTCTATCATTATCTAGTGCGTTTGGTCCACAACATTATACAAGTACTTGAGTGTTGTCAGTAATTGAATTTGTACACAAATCTCAAAATCCACGATCCGGTGATTGATATATTGTTTATGAATATTTAATATCATATTCCAGAGACTATTTAATACTTTCTGTAAGACAAGAATCTATAAGATACAAAGCGATAAGAGACCCTAATTTTCACTTTATATTTCCTCCCCCTCTTGCCAAAACATTTAGAAAGAAAGATTAAAAAAACTCCATTTCAATTAAAATTGCATTTCTTAAAGTTGGGTACATGCAAAACTCCGCAGAGGAACACGGGCATTTCTGCAAATTATTTATTCTACCGGCATCTCGCTAACCAAATAATAAAAAAATTCAAAATTGCAGCTTCCTTATAAAAGGTGGGCCCCCCCTCCCCTCGAGAAAGAGCCGCCACTCTCCGCCCCCGTTACTTTCTCCTCTCACAGAACGAAAAAAGAAAAAAAAAAGAAAAAGAAAAGTCACCGCCAAATTCTCAAAATCTATAAACCCTAACTCATGATCTCGAGCCCTAGATCTCAATCATGAGACCGATAAAGCTCCCGGAGCCCCCGAGCTGGTTGATGGCGACGCCGGAGATCTTCGAGGGCGGGGTGAACGCCATCAGAAGGGCAGTCGTCATCGGGAACGGTTTCGCCGGAGCTGAGAACCAGAGCATAGGTTTGGTTCGCGCCCTCGGCCTCGCCGACAGACACTCGATTTATGTGAGCTTTGTTCTCTGAATTTTCGAGGTCTACTGATTCTTTATTAATTCATTTGTTCTGTGAAGGGGTATTTGGTTAATGTCAGTATATAACTTTATGAGGCCTAATTAATTGAATATAGTTATTCATGTACAAGGGAGGCGACGATAAGATTATAGACAAAAGAAGACGGGAGATAGAGCAGAAAGGACTTGGTTAGAAGTAATCAAGAAGGTTAAGTTAACATAGGAGAAGACCCATATAGAACTGAATGGAAGATTAGGATGGATGTGTCCGACACGAAAAATTTGGATTAAAGGCTTTGTTGTTGTTGTTGCATAGACAGGATGAACATTTGTGATTGTTCGTGCTTGAAATGAAATATGCTTAGGTCGAATAGCTTTCGATGATGCTAAGATTTAAGATGATTGCATCCATCTTGGTTGTGGTGATTTGGTAGCATTGCTAAGGTTTGAACAATTTATCACTAATGAAACAATTTGGTAGCATTGCTAAGGTTTGAGCACTTTATCACCAATATGCGGTGACTTGGTTTGAGGAAAATCTAGTGGGTGTTGCACTTTATCACCAATATACGGTGATTTGGTTTGGGGGAAATCTAGTGGGTGTCAATCAACCGCTTGTTTCATTAATAAGAAATTTATGGGACATGAAAGGGATGATGGAGGTAGGTTGAAGAAAGCAATCATGCAGTGAGTTTTGATTCTTTTGTGTAGAACATATTGTTTAATGGAAGCCAAGAACTTTATGATGCCTAGTTTGATGAATTTTGATATAACCACGATAGAATTTACAATCACATGTGTCAGGTTTACACTTTAGTGAAAATGAGATGTGTAGAACTGGTGAAGAGGTTAAAGATGATGCTAAACTAAAATGTCAAATTGATCGTTTTTTCAGTACTGTGCTTCTTTTGTTTGTATTCTTGCCACCTGTTTACCTTTTTGCATGTTGTAGTCTTTGTTTTCCCAATTTGATGGAGGTATGTCTGTGCCACATGTCGCTTCCGAATGCTTGGTGTGATTTACAGCGGGTGATCAGACCGAGAGGCGGAGTCAATGATTGGCTTCGGTTTCTTCCTCTTTCTTGGCATAAATTTGTAGACAGTGTAATTAAACAAATCTTTGGGGAATCAAAATTGGGAGAAACGCTCCAAGGAAGGAGATTTGTGCCATATCCTACGCAGAACGGTGGAAATGCCGGCTTGTCATCTGTATTGGAAGCTGATGCTAGACAGATCGCATTCAGTGCTCGTGAGAATTTTGAGAAGTATGATTAATTACTCATTACTTTCTGTTTCTTTCATATCCTTATCTGTGCTTATCACTTCATCTTAATCTGAGCTTTTATTGGAAACATGAAGGCATGAAAACCATTTGACCCGACAACTTAACCCCCCTATGACTGGGTCAGTGTCATATTATGTTGTCTTACATTTGCAATTTTGACTTTGTTGTTCGTAGTTCATTTGCGATGAGTGGTTCACGTTTTTACTTGACAATAGATTGCTCCTGTTCATAAAAGAACAATTTTCACTTGGCTTACTAAAGCCAAGTTTCAACCATCAGATATTGTTCCTATAGGTGATGGTTGAGCAGAATGAATGTCATGGGAGCATGTCTAGTTACATATTAGTTGGCCCCTTAAACATCTCTCAATGTATTGGTCTAATAAGACTGAACTTTGTTTGGCCCGTTGGCACTCCGCAGATTAAATCAGTTTGCTTTCTAACTTACTAATTTTCTTCAAGCCATTGGAATTCATAATGATGAGTTAAGAAGCTCTTCTCTCACGTCCCAGTAATCCGTGCCAAATACGCATTTTCTTATGGGAAAACTTCTAATAGCAGAATATCTAATAAATATTAATATCTATAACGGTACTTTCTTCATTCTTCTCTGTATATGAGTATGCTTCTTCTACTCCAAGGGACTCCAAATTCTCTGCGGGTCAATTAACCTTTTTTTAATGAATCTTTTGTTTTTCAGTCTTAAAATTTTCAGGATGTCTTAACCGTGCATTGCGCATTTATGCTTAATGCCTACCTAGATAATTCTTTTTGCAAAAATTCACTTGCTTTTGTAGAACTACGCAGAAATTTGAACAAAGGGTGTTATTTGGAATTTTGTTTTCTTCCAGGGAAGGCCCTCTCCTAGTTGTTGCATCAGGGAGGGATACCATCTCAATAGCGAGTTCAATAAAAAGAATGGCACCGAATAATGTTTTTGTTGTTCAGGTAATTTGTATTTCAACTCTTTACCTTTTATATTCCTCTAGTTACCGATGTTAAACCATGTCAGATGTTGTTACTGGTTTTTTTTTGCTAATTGTATTTCCTTAGTTTATTTTGGGGTTTTCTTTCCTGAGGATAAATGTATTATAACTAAATTAAAAGTTCCTTACACTCTCACATATTTCAAGATACAACATCCGAGATCCCGGCTGGACAGGTTTGACTTAGTGGTGACCCCTGAACATGATTACTATGCTCTGACCGCAAGTGGACAACAAGAAATTCCTCGAATTTTGAGAAGGTGGATATCTCCAGAACCACGTAGTAAGAATGTTGTAAGCTCTCTTTATCTCTCTGTTACTCCTTTTTGCTTGAGAGAAGTGGTAGCTTTTAAGTTCTTTTCATGTCTGGATTTTTTATTTGTGTGCCTTTGTGCTCGAGAGAAATGGTAGTTCAGAAGTCATTGCCATGTATGATAACTTGGATTGTTCAGGTCTGCACAGTAGGAGCTCTGCACCAGGCTGACTTCACTGCACTTCGTGTGGCTGCTACAACGTGGCATGCTGAGCTAGCTCCTCTTCCGAAGCCCTTGCTTGTGGTTAATATAGGAGGGCCTACAAGTAATTCATCTCGCTTTCTTTTTGTATTAAGATTTATATCTTGTAGAAGTATTTGCTAAGAGCTTTATGAACGGATGTTTACAGCGGCGACAATCTGATAGTAGCATCACTCCACCTTTTCTTTTATTTTATTGTTTTTTGGTTAAGATAATTTGCATCAGATGATTATATATTAGTTGATCAAACTTTAGCTTCATTATTCTAGTTTACTGGAATTTGGAAGGTTTCTTCTGGGTATTTAAAATACTTCTAATAAAATTGGTACCTTGAGACATAGGGATCGATGATAGCTCCACTAAAACTCTGTCCAGCCCTTGTCTGCAACCCTCTACTTAGAGACATGCTTTTTATATGATTTCATCTAGATTGCAGCATTGTTGGAGAATAATGGAGAGTGAGCAATTGGCGACATACTGAAATAAACAACCCGCCCCCCCCCCACACCTGCTGAACGTAGTCATATATTATTCACAACTGTTAAGTAGTAACATGAACTCTGAAACTGATTTCTGCTACGACACATTTCCTTTCTCTGAGTAGAATTTATAAGAACACGTGTTGGTGCTTCTGATATCTCCTCTCAAAAAA